GTCAATCTGATTTGATTGAAATTTGATGAAATTGGATTGCATACACACATATGTGAACTTGTAAGACAAATTTCTAAATTTTTTTAAAAATTGCAAGTTGAATTTCATGTTGTGATTGCATGCTTGAGAATTAATTTGATTGAATAATTTGTGGGGTTTAAAAATTGTATTTTAAAATTCCCTTGAATTCTTCAGAAATTTTTGGATCTCATATAAGCTTGAAATTCATGGAAATTGCTATCTCATATTATTTTTTTTTCAAATATCAAGAAAATAAATAAAAAAAAAATTTGAAAAATGAAGGGAAACAAAAAAAATTTCCTTTTAGTTTTTATTAAGAATTTTTATTTTTGATTGTATCGAGATATCATGTGTGTGATTTTGAGTATGATACTATATATTATCATGTTTTTGTACTTATTGCAATATCTTGTGCATGGATCATAGTTTTGATCTCTCTTCTTGTTAATTCTCCCACATTATTTCTTTTCCTTCTTTGTTGAGCTTTATTTGTCAATTTGTAACAAAAAGGGGGATAAGTGTGCATATTTGAGGGGGAGAGTTTCTAGAATTGAGGGGGAGATATATTTATATATTGATGTTCACTTATTGATATATGTTGACTATTTTTCTTGATTAAGCTTCACGGGTAGTTTGTTGAGTTAATGTGCAGATTACAGGTTGCTACATGTGTTAAAACTTCATGAGGTTTAAGAAAAATTCCACGTTATATTTCTTTGACAATTCATTGTAATTTGCTTTTTCTGCTTGGATAGATTACATGCTGTTTTTAGGGTTTTGTCACGAAATTGCCAAAGGGGGAGATTGTGAAATATATATTTTGGAGAGCATATGAAAAATATATATATTGAATATTGGCTAATTTCGTTGTCAAAACAAGTCCGATCAAGTTGTAATTTTTCGGTTCAAAATTTCAAGGTTGAAGATCGAATGTGGATTTGAAGAAATTCAAGTGTTCATGGTTTAATACACTTCGAGATGATAATAACAATGCTCTAAGAAGTTTTGAGAGGTAGTGAGAACATTTATAAAGGGTTTTGGAAGTTGTTAAGGGAGATTTTACATTCTGTCCATCTTAAACGGGTTTAAGAATAATCGAATGGGTTCAACATCAGCAGAATAGTAATCTGGCCATCTTGAACCGGTTCAAGAATAATCGAACAAGTTCATGGCATCCTGACAGTTATGGTGTCTTGCCTTTCTTGCTCAGTTTGATTCCTTTTTGGACTAGACTTCCTTCCAAGTCCTATGCACGAATTTTTTCATATTTTCATAGGGATTAGGACATTATAAACTTTATATAAACCTTGTCATACACATAGGTTTATTCGTGGCTTTTTCATAAAAAAATTCAGATCTAATTGAGAGCCTTTTTTAGAGAGATTTTTATTCAGAAAATCAATCTGATTTTTCTGATTTTATTTTTGAGAGCACACACATAAATACAAGAGTGATTTAGTAGTGTTTTTCCCTATCTCATCAGAATTGAAGCATAATTAAAGATTCAGAAATTCCGGAAAAGTAGAATTCATCCGTTCTTCGTCAAATTCACATTTAGAAGAAAAGGGGTGAAACGATCACACCTTGAAAGGGTCAGAGCATTCGTGGAGTGTTGTCTGATCTACCTGCAACTCTTCTACAGAGATCGAGAGTAAGCTTGTGGTCAAGAGTTGTTGAACGGGGGAGTAACAAAGTCAGGGATTGTCAGCAATTGGTTTTTGGTAGAACGATAAAGTGTAACACAGAGTCAAAGTTCGGTATACTTTGCTTCAAATATATTGGATCGTTTATCTCAAGACTGAAGAATCCAACGAGATTTTTTCTATTACAATTGGTCTATTCTACTAATTGAGGTTTCCTCGATAAAATCTTGGTATCATCTCTCAAACTCTATTTACTTTACTTGCATTTTATTTTTGCTTTGTGGTTTGATTTTAGTTTTATTTCGATAAAATTAAAATAAGTAAAAATTGAATAAAAGAGAAAGTTAAATCTATTTACTATCTCTCTAGATTATCTTTCCATATTATATTCCACAACCATTCTGCTGTGTACAAACTCTCTACAATATGCTCTACATCACACTCACATCCCAACACCAAAAAACCTAAGAATGTAATGATCGTGGCTATATCTCATAATTTACGTAGTAGCTATTTTTCTTTTGTATTTATTTATTTATTCTTTCGCTCTTTTACTTTTGGCTGTTTGTGACGCTCTAAGTAGCACCAATCTAGCTATACATTGGTGCTGTCTCATGGACAGCAACACGTACCATGTTCAAACAAACAAAAAGTTAAAATGCACCATGCTTTTTCTCTCTCTTCTTCTACCACTTACTGTATTACTATTTTATAAGACGTACATATCCAATTGAAAAAAAAAAAAAGGACATATATCCTTGTAAACAGCATGATTAATTGGCGGGAAAAAAGAAAAATAATGGAAACGTGTAAAAAATGGTAACAGTAGTATTTAATCATTAAATTGAAAATCAGCTCTCTTATAAAAGGCCTATTGAAGGATGAACATATGAACCATTAACCATAACTTTCATTACTATATATATATATATTCATCCCCATAGTTACTTCCAACTAAGAAGCTAGATGGAGTTGATGCAGAGAAGCTTCAAGTTGGAGCTTTTAGGGTTTTTGCTGTTCAATGTGTTTCTCCTTTGCATGGCAAAGAAGAACATCACTACCATCGACTGGGTTGTAAGTATTTAAGATATTAATGTTAGGTCTTTTTTGTTCACTGTGTGAGTGTGAGTGTTTTTTTGTTTTTAACGGTGTAAGTTCATAACTAGCGATGACGTACCCAAATTAAGTTGTTTCTGGGGGTTCAGGATCGTACCCAAATTAAGTTCATGGGGCAGCCTCTTCTTTCTTGTTCAGATGAGGGCAACTCCCTATCTACTGAACATCCATCTCCAGGTTCCGGTTTTCCAGTTTAGCGCGCTTTTTCTACGATCCACCCTATTGTAGGAAGATGGACGAAGATGGAGAAAGTGAATCTCCTCTTTTGAACTCAGATTCTTTCACTCACCGGAAGGCGAAAACACTCTTTTTAGCTTTCATTTTGTTCATTACTTCGGAAACGATCTATCTACGTAAATAACTCTTCAACCTTGATCTAATCAGACTAATCCCACAATCTTTCAGATGTGGAATTCCAAACCCAACAATCAAATCACCCAGGCCTGAAAGCCTAGCCGATCTGGTCGAAACACCATTTTTTTCATTAAAAAGTGGGCAAAAAGGGCACTCTTCATATAATATATGATTTAAGCTATCCGAAGACTAACGTACATCCTCATGCTTTTGTTTTGCTTCCTCATATATATATATATATATATCCTGCATATATTTGTGCTTTTATTTTGTGGAATTTATGATAAATTTATAATGTATGTGAGTTTGATTTATAGCTTCAAGAAGCGAATTACACACGGTTGTGTAGCACCAAGTCGATCTTGACTATAAATGGCCTATTTCCAGGACCACCCCTGCATGTCCAGAAAGGTCAGAGGTTGATCGTCAATGTTCAAAATCAAGGGACCTACAATGTCACCCTGCACTGGTATATATGGCTTTCTCTCTGTGTGTGTGTGTGTGAAATTGCCCGCTGCAAGCCTCTTTCATCTCTACTGTAACAAAACAAATATATATATATATATATATATATATATATATATATGAAACTCACATACATTAGAAATTTATCATAAATATATATATCTCTTTCAGGAGAGTGAAAGAAATATGTATCCATTTCTTCTTCTCCTTCTTGTTTATCTACTAGGAAGTTCTGAAGACTAAGCATGTTTACATTTATTGGGAAAAAATGAAATGAGAACTTTATTTTCATCCCATGTTAACCTATAAAACTTCATTTTCATCCCAGCTTCACCTATCATTATTAAGAATATTTGGAATCCAATTTGCCTTGTGGTCCCCACAGGCAGAATGGATCGTTACTAAGGGTATTGTATATGTGATACCCAGCTAGTGGACAGACATGAAACCTCTCGATTTTTCTTAATACACAATAAATTGAAAGTTTGTATGTCTGTCTATTGGTTAGAGGTATCAAGTATAAGTACTTTGGAGTATTGTAGATTTTCTCATACAGAGGATATGCATATTCGTGTGTGCACTTGACCATCTAGTATACCGAAGATGATCTTAATTCCATGAAATATGATAAGTTAAGAGTTATTAATACTACGTACTAAGAGCTTTATAATCTAGTGGTATCTCCTCTATCTCTTAAAATGAATGGTGAGAATTCGAATCCCCAAAAGAGCAAAATGGGTATATGTGTTTTAATAGGAGCAAAACTTAGTTAACAAATAATAAACCATAATTCTACTAAAACAATAATGATAAAAAGATTTTAAAGAAAAATCACCCTTTGAAATGTACATATGTTTGCATGTTTACCAAACACCTAGAATTTTGCTAAAATTCCAATGATGCAACATTGAATTGTTGGTAAAGCTGGGGTCCCAATTATGGTAGTTGGAATATTTTATATTATTTTATTTTATTTTATTGTTGTTCAAACCGGCTGGTCGCCTTCTGTAACACAATTTGTCGTTGTCTGGGTGAGTGAAATTGCAGGCATGGAGTGAAGCAACCAAGGAATCCATGGTCGGATGGTCCGAATTTTGTGACCCAGTGCCCCATCAGACCAGGAGCAAATTTCAGTTATGAGCTCATTTTCTCAACAGAGGAAGGAACTCTGTGGTGGCATGCCCATAGTGACTGGACTCGAGCCACCGTCCATGGTCCCATCATTGTTCACCCTAAACATGGAACCACTTACCCATTTCCCAACCCTCATGCAGAAATTCCCATTGTTCTATGTAAGGAGATATCTTATATATAACATGAATAAATTATATATATATATATATATATATATATCTTAAGGCTTAATTTGGTTGGTTGTTATTGTATATATGTAGCATCTTGGTACAAGGGAGATGTGATGGAGGTAATTGAATCAGCACTTGCATCTGGAGGCGATCCTAATAAGTCTGATGCTTTCACCATCAACGGCTTACCTGGAAATCTATACAAAGATCTATTCAATTGCTCAACAGATGGTATGCATATTATATAAAATAATAATAATAATCAAATTTGACATTCAAATGATATTAGGAGACTATTTATACATATTTTCAAATATTAAGGATTTATATTCATAAGAATGTTTTTTACACTTTATCCTTAATTTAATTAATTTGACATTCAACTGATTTTAGGAAACAATTTATACATATTTTCAAATACCAAGGATTTATATTCATATATTAAAAAATAAGAATGTTTTTTTTACACTTTATCCTTAATTTAATTTATCTCATCAACACATCAATTACATTGTCAACTGTTATTGGCTTAAAATCATTGCAGGGATATTCAAAATAATAGTGGAGTACGGCAAGACCTATCTTCTTCGCATGGTGAATTCAATATTGAATGAGGAAATGTTCTTGATGCTTGCGAATCACACCCTCACTGTTGTTGGGATTGATGGAGCTTATGTCAAACCCATAGTTACAGACTATATCATGATAACTCCGGGACAGACCATGGACATTCTGATCAAAGCAAATAAGACCCCAAACCAATATTACATGGCATCGAGAGCCTACGGAGAAACAGCTTATGACAACACCACCACCACTGCCATACTCCAATACAAAGGCAACTATACAGTTCCATCAACGCTTCCATTCCCGGACCTTCCGGAATTCGAAGACATTGATGCTGTAACTAATTTTACGAATCAAATCAAGGCTCTGGCCAGCAGTGCCCACCCAGTAGACGTCCCACAATCAATCCACAAACGTCTCATTATAACTATTTCTATGAACACACTGCCATGTAACGAGAGTACATGTACCGGTGCTAACAGGTTCGCGTCGAGTTTGAACAATGTTAGTTTTCAGGAACCGGCCATGGATATATTGCAAGCTTACTACCGACAGATAGGAGGGGTGTTTACCACGGATTTTCCGAGTGAGCCGCCTTATGTTTTCAATTATACGGCAGATTCTGTGCCGGATAATTACACGACGCCGGACACAGGCACGAAGGTGAAAGTTTTGGAATATAACACGAGTGTGGAGATAGTGTTCCAGGGGACTAATGTGATGGGGGTAGGTGAGAATCATCCAATGCATCTGCATGGGTATAGCTTTTATGTAGTGGGAATGGGGTTTGGAAATTTCGACAATGAGACTGACCCCGCAGGATATAATTTGGTTGATCCACCTGAAATGAATACCGTTGGTGTCCCTAGAAATGGATGGACCGCCATCAGATTCATAGCTGATAATCCAGGTACCTAACTACATTTTCAAATTATCGTATTTGCGTTCACCATATTCTCTAATACATGATTCGTATGACAATGTAAATTGACTTCGTTTTAGTGCATTACACCATGACCCGTAACGGATATCACAACCGTGATGATGCTACTCTCCACTAGTCAATTTATATATATATATGTATGTATATATAAATAATGATGGATAAATGTTGTTATAATGATGCAGGGGTGTGGTTCATGCACTGCCACTTGGAAAGACATGCTAGCTGGGGTATGGATGCAGTGCTAATTGTGAAGAATGGGACCACCAGAAAAACGAGTATGAGACGGCCCCCACGTCACTTGAATCCTTGTTGAGTTTCTCACAATTGACTCATTGATCTTAAATTTCATTGTGGTTGAAAAAGAAGGAAAATAAGGATAACATGCATATGTGTGTGTGTGTCTATATATATATATATGTATGTCCAAATTTGTTGCACGCTTTCGTTCAAATATTGTTGATTCATGTCATGGATGTTTTTAGTACGTGTTTCTTTGTATCAAATTTCTACAAGGGGTATCAATAATTAATTAATATTATATGTGAGTTGTGATAAATCTACATCACATGCTTGTTTTATCCCAATTTTTTTTTTTTTTTTTTTTTTTTTTTTTTTTTTTGAAGGGTTTATCCCAAATTGTTGCTTGATGAGATATTTATTAAATTAAAGCAATCAGACAACAGTATATATAAGTAAAGTAGAGTTAGGAAGATATCGGATTTTAGCGAGAAAAAGTAATTAGAAAAACTTCGAGAATTTTTACGTTGTTCTAAGCGAAATAATCTATGTATAACTTTGACTCAGACTAACACCCCTTCATTCTGCCAAGGCCCAATTTGTTGAAGCTCTCTACCTTTGCGACTTTTCTAACAGCTTTCGATTTCAGGCTCTAGCCAAAAAGAGAAACCAAACGGGAAAATAATTCAAATTAACTTTTTGGTCTATAAGAGCACAATTGGTTGCACTCAGTGCAATCGGTTCCGCTTAGCTGATTGGGCAATCGGCTCGGCATAGGCATAGAGTTATTATTAGAAAGGCAAATTTTAAAACAATCGAATGCAACCGGTTGTGTGGAACGCGACCAGTTCTGTAGCAACAATTTATTTTTTAAAAAAACAGTTCTTTGAAATCATTATAAATGCTTAAGTCATGAGTGTATCAAAGTGAAAACACGATCCATATGCTTTATTTGATAATTAAATTTGTTGTACAATGTTTCATATATATATATATATATATATATATTCTACTTCTAGATTTTAGTTACCAAATATGATTGCAAATTTTTTTTTTTTTTTTAATAAATTTAACAATAAAGATATAAAATAAAAACAGTTTTGAAAGATATTTGAGTAACGGTAAAATTATTCTCATTGCAGACATAAATTTTGCTTTCACTCAACACTTTATATAAATACTTTATAGTCTCGCTTATTTAAAATTGGCTAATGATTTCAGTGAGGTAACTAGAAAAATTTGTCGTCTCTTTATTAGAGGACCATAAAGGAAATTTTTTTATGTAGAAAGTTCTAAATATAATTAATTCTCACTCATCTTGATTGGAACATTTTTAATGTTGTTATCAACTTTATTTTTGTCCACTTAAATAATTAATTATCAATTTATCTGTAAACATATCTTTCAAACTAACTCTGACCCACTCTGCAGACAGCCCTACCCATCTTCACTCTTGATAGTGGCACTTGTAATCAATCAATAAAGCAAAACAGATTATGACAAGTCAAGAAGAAAAGAAAAATCCTGGGAAAAAATAGATAAGATTGTTACGCTTTTTAAAAAGTGTGAAGAATTAATCATTAAATCAATATCAGAGTCGGTGATTATCAAATGTGTGAAGAATTTTTATTCAATTTACATATTGCGCATGTGCACCAAACCCTAACTCCCATGGTCCTATATGTTTTTTAATACAATGGTATGGTACCAACGAATCTGATATTGAATTTATGATTGAATCAACCAACCTTCCCGGCGACAAAACATTCTCACAGCTAGTTCTTTATTTAGGTGTGGGTCCATCAACTTTTTAGTTTCTCCTTCCGCTGGTTTTTTTGAGCTCTGATTTGTTTTATCTTTTCTTAATAATAGATTCAAGGACCTGTTAGGCTGCTAGCTCCAAGCCTCCACCGCCTATTTTATTCTTTTTAATATATATATTGTTTAGATATTTATATATATATAAACAACTAATATGCATAATGCAAGACAGCATTTGCTGTGCGCGTATATATAAATTATATGTACATAAAGTTATTTTACATGTTGCACATGCATACCTGCTCCACTCTGGTGGACAGTGCAATCTATGGGGAGCAAGGCTGCTTCTTCAGTTGTCCTACCGAATATAACTTTTTATGGGACTTCATCTAACCTTTAAGTTTTTTGTGGACTCTGTCTGTACCACGACACTTGAATGGCCAAAAGTGCCAAAAACTCCTATCTTAAAATTACTACTCTACCATTACTTTTGAAATATCTCAGAATTATTGCTATTATTATTAAGACTAATTCCATAAATCTCCCGTTACTTTCAACTTCTGATAATAAACTTTCAATTTATTAAATTCGTGACCGACCCGTTAAATTAGTTGTGAAATATCAAATTTGCCCTCATTGTTTAATGTTAAATTAAAACTTAAAAATCATTTTTTTTAATGATAATTTCACCCTTTTCATTATCTAATCTAAATGAACAATGACGTCGTTTTTTCACTAAACAATTTCCTTCATCCTTTGAATTCAGGCACAATATATATATATATATATATATATATATATATCACACACACACATATATATATATATATGGTGGAGATTGGATATTGCTATAGATATCAAACTAACTCATCTGAAACCCTAAAAATAACGACGACGATGTGTTCAACTTCGCAGACTAATGCGATGCTTCACTACTTTCAAAAGAGTTGGACTCCAACTTCGCAAAATTGGAGTCGCCGGTAAACGACGACATGGACAAATTCGCCGTGGATACAAGCGACGACGCTGCCACAAAATTAATCGTGGTCTCGACGCTGCCACAAAATTAAAGCGACGACATGAACAAATTCTCTCGACGGATTTGTTTCTGACCAACTGGCCGGTGATGGTTGTGAGGTAGAGGAGGCCAGCAAGCGCTGAATCGGAGTCGGACAGTAAACCTTATAAATCGAACCATGTTTATCCTCCACTGTGTGATGATTGATCGTTGCTTGAACGAATTAACGGCTCAGATTCTAGGGCTTTGTGTTGTTGCTTAGGAGGAGGAGGAGAAACACGACCTCTTTGAAAACGGGCGTGACCGGTTCTGGTCCAATCAAGCAAGGAAATGAACTTCTTGAACGTGTTGACGGCGACCGCCCTGTAATCGGCCTTGCCACCGTTCATGGCCCCTACACAGTGACCTTGGTCGTCATGCTCGCACCAACAATCTTTGAAGACTCAACCTAATTTATCACTAATCGCAACACCAAACCTAAATCAATCAACATGGTCACTCCTTCTCTCAACGCCCTCAAACCATCCTCCATCTCCACCATCAGATTTCTATGTAGCTAGCTACGGTGGCAGAATCCTCTCCAGTTACCAATGCGCCACACCCGCCTCCTCTCCATCTCCTTTGCCGATCAGTCCCTCTTCTAATTCATATATATATATATATATATATAAGTTTACTTTGTTAGGGATATTTGTGACGTCGTTACAGAACCATCACTTGGTCTGGTGATGGGTTTGTTTTAAAAATAGAGAGAAAGGGGTGAGAATTCGAGAGAGAGAGAGAGAGAGAGAGAGGGGTGATAGAGAAGACAAAGGTATTTTTGTAATTTTACAAAAAAATAATTTTTAGTTTTAAATCTAACTTTAAATAGTACGGTCAATTTTATCATTTCACAGTCCCGTTAACGGTATGGATATTAGGATAATGCGATCATTTTTTAAAATGAAAGGGATTTTTTGAAATAGGTAATTGGAGGTTTATGATCAAAATTTAAAAATAGTGGGAGTTTTTTAAAATTAGCCCATATTATTTTTATTATTATTGTTATTGTTACTAGAGTAAAAATATATTCTTGGTATTTTATACTTCATACATTTTATAAATTTTATACAGGGTATTAAATTAATAAGTGAGGGTAAATAGGTAATTTTGATCATCTGGCTGTCAAAAATTGCTATTCGGTCACCGCAAGAAGGTCACAATGCAACTTTGTGAAAATTGAAGGGCTGACATGCAACAATAAATTTTGTAAATTTGAAATAGTTTAGAGAATTTTTTGCACTTTTACTTAAATTAAATCAATTAATGTGCTTTTTTCTTTGATAAATAGTAAAGCAAACATATATGCTTTTTCTGTCCACTAACTCAAAGATAAGGCGTTTGTACCGCTAACTCAAATACCCTTTAATTGATTGTTTATGTTGTAATTGGTTATCATTTTGAAGATACACTAAACCACACATCAAATTGAAGATGCTCCAAATAAATTATGGTAATAATTGAACAATGTTATGGTTGGACAGTGTCTTATAGTGAGTTTGCTTTCTCACGTATAACGTGATATAAACAACCCTAAGTTCTTTTATGATTCAAGAATTTTTTTTTATTTCTTTATTTTGTAATAATTGTAGGGCAAGGAATGACATGATTGTGTTTTACATTGATGGCCTAAAAACGTTTAGACCAAAGATGAATTCATGTCATGAATTCGATTCCACTGCAAATCAAAGTGCAATGAATGTGAGTGTCCACTAAGTACCAGATTTCAATATTAGGCACCTGACAGATTTAGGGCATGCCTAATTTTTCCAATAATACAATGGAATGTTAGGTACGTTTCATTTCTCTTGCTTCTGAACGGTTGATGTACACACGCATTCATTCATTCCACACAAGTAAGAGCAAATGAATTTGAATTGTTGTTGGTTGTCGACCACCGACAATTTTAACCCATTCGAATTCTACAGGAAATTAATATAAAAATTGGCTTAAAAAATCATATTATATCCTTGACTCAGCATCAAATCCGCGAAAAGTAAAAAATAAAAAATGGTGATTTGGATTTCAGTAACTTTAATGTAAAATTTTTAAAGACTTTTAGAGATCTCATTCAAATGTGAATACTTTTTGTTATAAAAATAGAATTTTAATTTATAACAAAGTCTTCTCAATCTCGAAAGGAGTGGCCAATGGGACCACATGTTCAAGTGGACCAAACATCTAAATTTAAGCATTTAAATAACAACCAAGCATAAAATCATATAGCAACGATTAAGTATAAAATCATATCGATTGTTGCTTAGGTATCTAAATTTAAATGTTTGCTCCACTTGAGGGTGTGGTCCCTTTAATTGCACGTCTTTTGAGAGTGAGAAGACTTTTGTATCCACGGTAATAGTCCTTGTATATTTATTCCTCCTATTTCTATATCAGGTTGTAAAAGATAAATTACACTCACACCCTATGAAATTTGTCATAATTATAACAATATTCAAATTAACTCATTTTTGAACAATAACACTCTCCCAAATTTAATAAAGTTAATAAAGACACCTATTCGACAAATTAAAATGACATTGTTGTCATTTGACTTGTAAATCAGTAATTTATTTAAATCATTGAATTACGTTTGTCACCTTCATAATAAATTTAATGGACCAATTTAGCCCTCCCACCCACTAAAGTTGAGGACAGGACCCGCCCCGCCCTGCCCCTAACCATTGAACATGTACACACACACTGCTCCACTACCTAGATCACCATCAAATTTTATAGATCACAGGCTTCACAGCCAACCCGTTAACCCCGCGTCTATAGCTACCATAACACCGAATGGTGAGTGCATCAAGAGAGACGATCTCAACCGAACCAGTAACCCCACGTCTATAGCTACCATAACACCGAATGGTGAGTGCATCAAGTGAGACGATCTCAACCGTCACTTCCTCCAGGGTAGTGTGGGTCAGATCCCGGTGCCGGACTTTTGGTCGTTGTCAAAATTGACTTTTAAAGGGACACTTTGTACATATTTTTAAATGTTATGAATTTTATACACAAATAAAATAGTAATGTGTACTATACACATTTTTTATACAGGAAATTTTAATTTTATTTAATTTTATAGTTTATGATGATGATGATAATAATAATAATAAACTAAGAATTTGGGTGCCACTAAAATTTACATACCAGAATTTTTGCCAAAAAATTGACAAAACAAAAGCTGATTCAATAGCTGCTTCAACAGGTGCAATAGCTAAAAAAAAAAAAAAGAAGATAAGTAGTAATAGGTGTAAAGAAATTCCAAAGATGGTTCATTTTATTTGACGACTTAAAAAATAAAAAGAATAAAAACGTTAATAAATTTATACTAACAGCACTCAAATAAGCTCAAGACACTTGAACAACTTTCAATATTTAAATAAATTAGGGTTTAGGGCCCAATATTAAAATATAACAACTTTCAATAATGTCAGTTTACCCCATAAAAAATATGCTTATATATTCCAAGACGTGACCCTCCCGTAGTTGATGGACATTGGATCCGGTTCTCTGTGTTTTTTAATTTTTAATTTTTATTTTTTTTTGTTTCCTTTCTGAGTTGAACATGGATTTCATGTGTTTGCTTTAATTTTTTTTTAAAATAATAATAAAAAATAAATAAATAAATATACTCTCCCAAGGAACTAGTGAATAAGACGTAGTTTTTTCTCCAAACTATGTTTTATGACCCAGAGCTCATGACCGGAAATATTAAGAGGTCTAAGACAATTAAAAGAATTTTGTAATATTGTAATGTTATTTTTTTAAATTTAATTCACCCCTTCAAAAAAAGAAAAGAAAAAGAAGAATAAATAAATAAATTATAGACAAAAAATGAGAAATGCTAGTCATTGTGGGCCGGCCGACCGACCGACCAACTAAGAGTAATGTTTTGTGAGGCCCACCCAAAGCATTGTCCCTAAATTTGTCACATTGAAAAAAGGATAAGTTTATTAAGTTCTTGGCACGCCAAGCTCATATCATTAGTAGCACATGTATAAAAAAACTTATACACAAAGAGACATTGAATAGAAAACCAAAAAGAAAAAAAGAAAAAAAAGAGGTCACATACAATGGGAAAGTTGAAATATTTGATATTATAATCTTTTATTTTAATTTTCATTTTGTACTAATGAAAGAGACATGAATTTTTATTTTATTCTTATGCCACAGACTTTATCTTTTATTTTCAAGTGAGGCCCATCATTTACTGAATTATTTTTAATCTATAAAGATTCAATTCTTTAGACAAAACACTCTTTCACTTTCGTTAGACAAATCCTCTTTCCATATTGTTAAGCAATATAGTTTGAAATCTTTTAACCCTAAGTGAGGTACATTATTTACTATATTGTTTTAGTCTATAAAGATCTGATTTTAAACCTGTTAGCACCAAATTTGATTGTTTTTGAGTGATTGTATATAGGAATTTGGATCTACTACTCCTATGTGCTAGATGCCCCAGTGCTATCAATTCATAAAGTGATAAACATCACCAACAACTCCACCCGTGTTCATTATTTCTTGCCGAAGTGGTCATTTACATATCTACCCCTAGCAATTAAAAATTAGAAAAAAAAAAAAAATTTAATATACTTGTCCAAAATTGAGGTAATCCTAAATAAAAATTAAAATAGTCCCCAACTGTGAAAACAACAAAGGCAGAAAATGAGCTAAAAACAGAGCAACAAATTAAGTAGAAAACTTAGTGCTTGCATTTTGGTTTGTTCATATATACTTACAGTAATCAACGGAACGAGCACGGTCCTTTGTCTCAACAAGACTTCATTCATGACTTAGAAGGAGGAGTTACTGCTATTTGTATATCATCAATAAACAAGGGAAAAAAATTGAGATTTCTATCCCCATACCAATTAATCATCTCTTTAAATAGACACTTGACAAGCTCACAACACCCTGTTAAAAATAAAAAATAAATGTCACTTAGATGATCATATGTACTATTAAGCATGCAGTACATTCCCTCAAAACTTATGTTTTGTACTTTGTACTACCAACATGAGCTATGCTACTTAATAATAATGGTTTGTACTTTGTACTACCAAAACGAGCCATGTGATAAAAATTGATAAATATCATACAATTCATTAATCCTCCCATATGTTTTGATTCTCCGGAATTGAAGTGTAATTTCTGTCTTATTAGCGGGCCTTGGGTAAAGTCTAGTCATTGTTATAATGACTTGAATGTCCCTTGTTCGAAATAAAAAAACACTAAGATTGATCTCCAATGACCATGAGGTCAGAAGTTCAAAACAAAAATAATTTTCATGTCATGTGCATAAGTAAGTCTATTCATCTTGTAATTAGGAAGGCTTGTGCTTTGTGCTAGCCCCTACTTCGATCTTGCGATTAAGAAGGCTTGTGCAATGCTATAAATCTTGAGAGGCCAAGTGTAAGGAGATGGATTCAAACACGACAACAATTACTTTGTGCAAATCAACAACAATTGTGGTTAGCTCCTTTGCAATCCAAGAATATATTCCTATAGCATCTTTGTTGTGATCTTGTTGTGAGTTGTGCAGCGAAATAAATTGTTGAAAGTTTGAGTTTTTATTTATAGAGAGGATTTAATCACGTGTTTCTCTATTCAATTTATTTTACTAAAATTACCGGTTAATAAAACAAAAACATGCAAATTAAAAGCGAGTAAGGTTTAGAGTAACACCGGATTTTAGGGAGAAAACCAATTGAAAAATCTCGAGATTTTGTGCGCTATCCCAAGCGTAAAAAGATCCATTATGTAGGAAGTAAAGTATACCGAACTTTAATTTAGACTTAAACCCCTTCCCTATACCAAGACTCAATCCGCTAAACATTCTTGACTTTGTGACTTCCCGTCCAACAGCTCTTGACTTCAGACTTATGCCTCGAACCTTGTAGAAGGATTGCTGGTAGATTAATGACACTACGCAAGCGCCTTGATCCCTTCAAAATGTGATATGAAATTCTTCTTATTAAATCTGAATTTGATGTAGAAGAAATAAGATATGCTTTCACTTATCGTTGTAGATGCATTCTTCAATAGACTCAAACATGATCAGGATTTGAGCAACACCCTAAATTCACTCGTGTGTATATATTGTGTATGCTCTTAAAAATCTCACAAAAAGGCTTTTAATGGAACTCAGAATTTTAATGCAAAAAGTCACTTAAACTTAGATGAGAAAATATGTTTATATAGCTGCCTTGAACTGATTTAAGTTGGCTAGACTTGAACTTAAGTTTAAAAACTGAGAAAAATTTCAGTAACGTATAGTTTTGAAAACCATAGATGTTTACAAGTGTCCTAACATTTTAACTCATCTTCCAAAGGTGTTGTTCTTACCTTTTCATAAACTTCAAGCTATAGAACACGAATAACTCTTCAATTCCGCTACAACTGATCTCGAACTTGAATTTCAAACTCAGAAGTACAACTCGATCGGACTTGTTTTGACAATGATATTAGTCAATTACAAAATATATATCTCACAATCCCCCCCCCCCTTTGGCAATTTTGTGACAAAACCCTAGAAACAAATTATAATTTATGTGACGGCCCTAGTTTTTCAAGCCAATGCGTCCTGCGATGAACCAAAGATTGACCCAACAACAGATCCGAATGAGGAAGCAAAAATAGAAAACAAGACTCTAAAAAGTCAAAGTGACCTTCCATGAGGTCATGGAACTCAATGAGAACTGATGTGGAAGCAAAAGATCAAAAATATGACAAATAAGCCCCCAGGGGCAAAATGGTAATTTTTTAAAAAAAGAACTCGGGTGCCACCGAGCACACCACTGGGAATACAACAAAAAATTAACCAAGATGGACTCAAGAATTGCATGATTCGGAGTCCGGACGAAGGAGAAACGATATGACGAAGAAAAACGAGCACTTAAGGCAAAAAGGGTAAATTAGTAATTATCCAGGAAGATCAAGGTGTAACCAAGCAACTGTTGGAAATAGAGCAAAAAATTAGTCAAGTTCAAAAAAAAGTTCACTCGATTTGATGTCCGGACGAAGGAGAACGAGCGAAAACAAAAGTTGAAGTCACGACGTCGAGACGAGCACCCCACGAGCACACCGACAAGCACTATGACATGCACTATGACATGCTAGGAAAGAGAAAAATTCAGCCAGAACTGAGAGCCAAAATGAGGTCTGAAACGAATTTTTCTGGAAAAACACAAAAAAGAAACCCCCCTAAAATCGAGTTTTCTACCCGATAAAGGGGAAGGAAACGAAAAAAGCTCATTGAAAAATCTCCAAAATGCCCCTAGATCAGAACTGGACATGAGGGCAAAAAGCTGCTATAGTGACTGTCCACATCTGAGATCAAAAACGGGCTACCAAATGAATTTTTCTGGAAAAATACGAAAAAGAAACCCCTCCCAAAATCAAATTTTCTACCCAGACGCATTGGAGAAAATGAAAAAAAAAATACTGTGAAATGGCTGAAATGCCCCTCCAAGAAATCAGATCAAGAGGGTTGTTAAAATGCAAAACTGAAAGCTGAACTTCACGAGAGATTTACAGTACCAAGACGACATTTTTTGGAAAAACACAAAGCAAAAACCCCCCCTAAAATCACGTTTTCTAAGTAACCATGTGAAGACTGGAAATTTATTTCTCGAAGGAAACCCCAAAATGCCCTAAAATCAGATTATGCAATAAAAATGTAAAATGAGTCCATAGGAGGCTCAAATCACCAAGGATTAGGTTTTTTTTGAAAATGATCATGCACGTAAATGTAACTTACCCATTAGGACGTGTTACAATGATTTACGGCTTGAAAATATCGCCGATGCAAAATTCGACAACCCCACGGCCAAAAAGGCAAAAATGAACTAGAAATGAAAAATTTGAAAACTAAAATTAACAAATGATTTCAAATTACCGTTTGGCCCTTGGCCACACTTCATGCATATTAAGTAGGTCCTAATGAATGTGCTCGTGCACACTTTGCATCACCCGATTTGGAAATGAACCATTAAAGGCTTGGATTTTACTATTTTAGCTCAAAATGCAAAGTATGAAATTAAAATGCAAAAATGAAAACAAAATGGTGATTGGCCCTTGGCCACACCTCATACATATTAAATGAATGCTAAATAATGAATTTCATACCCGATGCACACTCCGGTGCAAAAATGTCATGCTAAAACACTAATTTCTCATATATTTTCATTAAAGGCAAGATTTCAACATTAATGAATATACATGAATTTTAAATATGGTTTGGCCCTTGGCCTCATATCATATATATAAAATGAGAATAAAAAAGTGTGCTTAGGCACACATTATAAGTTTAGAATCAAATATACACATTTGACAAATAAGGTTACAAATGGCTTTTCAAGCCAACCTTTACAAGAATGGAACCTTCAAGTCCACAAATCATCCAAGCATAACGAGAATCTCAACCTTGATTCCTGTACCTGAAAAATGTCCCCACTATGTGGGTGAGTAACATAAAGCTACTCGTAGGAAATGAGCACGCATCGACCTAACGTTTTACAATAATATCACCTTAAGGTGAAACATACTAAAGAAGCTCATGCCACCTAACGTCTATGTTAAAGGTGAGACTCAGGGAGCATTCTAAGCTACCTTAGATCATTTCTAGCATAAATTACATCATACATGCAATTCTAGAAAACATAAGTGCATGCTACACTAAGCAACAAGATATAGATTCTCAAAGTTATCAACTTGAAATCTAAAACATAAAAACAACTATAGTGGGTCATGCCACCTAAAGTCTATGTTCCAAATGAATCTATAGGGTCATTCCTAAGCTACATTTGAACATTTAACATAGATGTACTTAACAACATCAAAACGTGTAATGATTCATTAGAAATCATAATGCCTGAATGTACTTAATAACATCAAAACCTGCAATGATTCATTAAAAATCATAATGCGTAATATACTTAACAATATTAAATTGCCAATAACCAAAACCACAAGTCACAATTATACATTGGTTGTCAACTTGGAATTGAATCCGAAAACAAGAGTGGGAGACTTGGACATCAAATCTTGGATAAAGCCAAGACCTAAACGGTTATTCCAGGCATTAACCCGCTGGGAATACCACCTTAAGTGCGCACTATAAATGGGGAGAACTCATACCTCCCGTACTAGAGCCAAACTCTAGCCATTTCTCTGTAACAATGTCCTAAGTGACTCCAAAATAAATAAGTTAATAACTTATATACGAAATATATATAAAGCAAGAAACTACATTCCATGCACAAGTAGGTTGTAACCACACAGCTCATGCTCTAAATCCATAACTACTATAGGATAACAAATGTTGAATCTTCATAGCGCGATTCGTTACGCGCTATAATAATATCACATGTCGAATCTTCAGTGTGCGATTCGTTACACGCTATAACAATATAATTCAATATTGAAAACATAAACTGAAGAATCTAATACAAATCCAAAATCATGATTTAAATATACAATCAATGTCAAACACATGATTAAATAATTAACGCAATAGAAATGGAAATTAATTACATAACCTAATTATTTTATCTAAGTTTCAATTCTCGACCAAATGGTCCCTAATTAACACATGTTATATAACATAACTTGATCATTACATATATCAATTCAAAAACTTAATTAGGCCATTGAAACAATAAAATGGAATTTAATTAAATCATTATAATCAAATCCTTAATTTCTAAAATAACATTGAATAGTCCCAAATTAAAATACGCTAGTATACAAGTCCTAGTCATCACAATTATCAAATCAAAAACTTGATTAAGCCAATGGAACCTTTAAAGAGATTTTAATTAATCCTTTTATTAAAAATCTTTAGAATTTCATACTCATCCAAATACTCTAAAATTAAAGTATGTTAAAGAACATGCCAAGACTTAATT